AACCAAAATATGCTGCATAACGGAAAAGCTGAAATGACGACGGATGCCTTTGACAATGTTGCTTAATTGCTTGTAAAGGGTGTAAATTGCAACATAATCAGGCCACTCTAATCTAACCAAACGCTCAACTATCAAAATGGCTGCCCCACTTGTTCTATGTTACGCTCATTCTCAGCATTGAATAAGATAAAAATATAAAAACATTCTCTTAATTCTGCAATGAAAGTTTACAGCCAACATTTGAAGAGGGTATAGGCTCTTTTTCTATCCTTCTATTTTCAGTTTAAAAGGATAGGCATCTTGAACTGTCTCAAAATATTGAAAAGTAAAAAATGCAGAATTTCAACACAGTATGATTGTATTTAGTACAAGCTACATGAACGGAGCAAATATGCAAGAACTCAATCTAAATACATTTTTCAATCTGTGGACTTTGTATTGCATCAAAATATCTTCAGTCCTTAAGCATGAAAAAATCCAAAATGATTTCAAGAGATTGAGCCTTGTAAGAACATATCATCCAAACATAAAAAACTCTACTATCTAGCAAAAACAGTAACTACTAAACCAACAATGAAAACCCTTGTCCACGATTTATGCCTTGTTTCATATGATTTACATTATACAGAAACAAATTTATGAACTTACCAGGGATGCTTATTCCATTGTTTAAACTATGCAACTAGTAGGTAAGAGACAAGATAAAATGTAGATAAAAAGTACTTGTGAATCAAGCACCAAGCCACTGTCATTACCATCTAATCAATCTATCTATTTATCGAAGGAAGGAAATAAACAAATTTGGATACTCTATAGATGAGAAGTTCTCCATAATAATCTACATGAAATTCTACTACAAAAAATAAACAATTTACCCAAGAAGAGGTGGGATTGCACCGACTATAGCTCCAACCCAAGTGTTTACTGGATGAATCTGCTTCAAAGGAGTATAAACAAATGCATAAAGCACAAGATTAGATGCTGCAAGGCCAGCCGCCAGCATATTAACCTGCCACAGGAAATTCCAAAATCAATCCCTTAGCTATAACATTTGAACAATGTTAAGGATTGACATCCTTATAGAAATATCAAACATAAGAGTCCATAACCACCTTGCAAGCCAAAAGAGCAGTGCCGCCTACACCCATTGAAGCAGCCCAGGCAACTGCGTGCGGTATAGTAATACGTCCTGAGGGCAGTGGTCTGTGTCTCGTTCTATTCATTATCGCATCGTTTTTCACCTCAAACACCTATGTCATTGGAAAGTGCAAAGCTAAGTTTGCGCCAAATGAAGGTAAAAACCAAGCACCAATTATAGTGCTACTAGACACTTTACGAGGAAGAAGGTTATACAAAACTAGCCACTATTCTTTTGCGGCTTGATATTTAAGAATTATTTAAATAAGAACTTATGCCTTCTCCTTTATTTATTTGTCTTCCAGACTAATTAACCAAAGATAAAATAAAACGGTAGTAACAATAAATAACCAAAAACCAAAATGCCTTCAGGATCATGTTGACTATAGAAACTTGATATGGCATAATGTGTTTCAAGCTTATTCACTCAGCCACATACTTAATATTCTAAATTTTCCACAAAGTATATCTGCATTAAAAGAATGAAAAACAAGAATGCAGAAGACCTGGTTCAACGAGTTAGCAGAAGCTGCAACCATCATGGTGCCAGCACAAGTGCAGCAAAGGCCAAGATAGTCTATGGAACCACCACTCCCAAGTATATATCCAGTACCAGATGTAGCAACCACTAGCATACTAGAGATAAACATTGAAAGGATGAGAAAAACAAACACAGCAGTGTAATTCTTCACTCCTCTACTTATCCGTAGATTTTGACGGATTTAGTAAAAGAAATAATCAGAATTATACGTAAGCTACCAGTAGAATACTTCAATCAGGAATTTTCCATATTGGGTAAGACATGGCATACAAAAACCGTTGAGTCTTCAACACAAAAAAGTAAACCGAAATATGACTTTTATCTATGTTAATCTCGACAATTACAGATAATTTCCATGATTGAATTAGTGGTATCGACGAATAGCCTTGGTAGGGACAGAACTTAAAAAGGATGTGAAACAATTAAACTTAAGAGAACCTGAGGCGAGCTTTGGAAAGCTCCCAATAACATCGACCATAGTGCTTAGCCAAGTCCGCTACCTCGTTGGCCTTAAAAGCAGATGCAGCAGCCAACCGCGGAAAACCAATGGCGCTAGCAGAGGTTGGAAGAGCCCCAGATTGGGACCATTTTAGGGGATCTGTGGCTAATGTGGACTCTGGGCCGGAGAAATTGGATCGAGCGAGGAGACCGTGGCAACTAGCAGGTTTAGGGGAACTTCTGAAGAGGTAAAGTAGAGAGGAGCTGGAGTTAGAGTAGGCAAGTTTGGATGAGAGACTGAGTGAGTTTCTTCTCCACATGGCTGGTTAGGCAGCTTTCTGATTTATATACCTGTTGGATAGTCACATATATGCAAGAAGATGATTTACAATCTCTAGCCAAAGAAACTATTGAGCTCGAGGGTTTCACAACACAAAAGCAGAAGGAACAAATTTTTTTGTAATAGTGCAATTAAGGCCTCCCCTTAAAGCCAATGAAAAAATTACGACAAACAATGATTTCCTCAACTGGTTTCTCTTATGTTAAGTTCTGAAGGATTAAGATAAAGTTAAAGCAGCGTAGACATTCAATAGACAATGATGACTTCTTCTCAGAGTCATAGTAAATATCTCAAAAGCCAAAGATAATAAATTTATAATCTTACCAGTTTTCAAATCCACCCACTCAACCCTCCCATATCTTCTGAAGAGGCGTTCAATATCAGATTCACGAGCATCGAATTCAAGATTCCCACAATATAGAGGCCTCATAATCCAAAAAGTTTTCTGCCAAGAATAAGAATGTTCATTCTCCAATATTTTCCCCAGCATAAATATTTTAAAAAACATGTAGGCTGTAGCTTTAAGTTTAGCCACAAAAGGACAACTCAAGTTTAGGCAGAGAATTAGAAACATACTACACGTTTTATCAAATGCAGAAGAAATGAAAATTTTAAAGTTTTCTGCAATAATTTCTCTCTGCATCTACAACCAATGAGTTAAAACGAGATTACAAAGATGATGAAGACCTGGGCATTTGTAAAAGCAAGCATCATAAATAAACAATAATACATCTTCTTACACCAACTACCTGATAAAATACTCACTGGTAACACTAAGGTACTTATCCTGTTGAAAAAGTATTTCCGTTAACGAATAATGATTTTAATCGGCTCTTATGTGGGCGTTATATGTTGATTTGGATTTATATTCGCTTGGAAGTTGCCTAGAAAATGAGTCTTTTCTTTTATGTGAATATTTCCATGTGGCCGGAAAGTATGCATTTCCTACTATCGCCAAGCGGCACTTTTTTATTGGACTAGTACAACTTAACCTCGATTTAAACCTAATGATGATGGTTGACAAATAATTGAGTATGGATCGGGCTCCAGCTCGGGATTTCTGTGCCGCGTCTGGCAACTCAGATGTTGATTCCAATTCCGATTGGCCGGGTTGCCAAATCAGGCAATCATGGGCCATTAGTGGCGCGCCACATCTCACAAGATATCACCAGAACCCAATAGAGCAATTAGATGGAAGAAAAGTCCCATGAATCTACTCATACTTTCGGACTTCCACTTACTCCAAGAATCAAGAATCAAGCTTCCATCATAATATACCCACAAATATAGAAATCTCCTGTACAATATGCTAATGAAGCTTTAGGTTCACCTTCAAATTTGAGTTCTATATGCTACCAAAATCCCCCCTGTCAAAGCAAATTACTAACAGTAACCAAGCACTAAGAGCATAAAAAGAGATGCAGATTATTCAAGCGCGCCAACAGAAAACCGTAGAGCCCAACAGATCAAATTCCGCATATCAATGTTGACGTCGCAAGAATTGAGCTTCAGCTCAAGCCAAATCGTAGATCTACTAGCAGAAACATAAATGCGCACCTTAAAGACGATCACTTATGAACAAGAGCGCCGGAAAATCCAAATGCTTTTCTCTTAAAGATAATAGATCTGTAAAGCTGTAGCACTGCAAAAGCATACGCAAACAAATAAACACACACACACACAGTTTCATATGCGGATAAGTGATAGAAAAAAAGCATCATTTTTACCTTCGTCCATAAAATATCTTTTGAGCTTGTTTCTGCAGTAGGTCAGCCACAACCAGCGAGCAGATAGATTGGATCAGATTCAGGTAGATTCTGAGCACTGGAACGACGCTGTTTTTTTACGGCTTTTCTGTTGGGCTCTACGGTTTGGGCTGGAAGAGTGCTTGGGGCTCAGTGGCCTTTTAATTTGGGCCTCTTGTCTGCTAATGAAGTTCAAAATCAAATAGCCCTTTCAGAAATCAATTGAGTCCAGTACTTTTTGGACTCTATACAATGCCGAAAAACTTAGGTTTGGTTCGTTAAGGCTCAGTAGAATAGAGGTTTTTATGTGATTTTCTGAATTTTGATTATATATTGGCTCGTTAGAGCTTATTAATGAGCTGAACTCGAGCTCGTTTATTCGTCATTAACTTAGACAATGAAAGATTATTATCTACCAAGCTCAAAGCCCACTTTTTCAAATATTTAATCAATTGATTTGTGAATGATTTTCGTGATTATCTATCTAATTTGGGCTTTTCTTGTTGTTTTTAGTTTTAATTGATGTGGGGATTATTCAATCAGTGATTTTTTTTTTTCCCTCAAAAATAACAACTTTTTCACCTATTTCTTGGACCTTTGTTGTAATTCTTTTTACTGTGGAGCTTGTGACCACTTAAAACACTTATCATTATATATTGATTTTCCCAAATTACATTAATCTTGATCTGGGCACTCTCTAGTTTGCCTGTTTTTTCATTCTTTCTTCTTTTAATCTTTTTTTTTTCTAAAAAAAAAAATTAAAAATATAAATCATTTTAGCAAAGGCTTTTTGACTGACATGTTAGGCCCAAGCTTCAATCTAATCACAACAATCATTGGATTTGTTCTGAGCGCAGCTTTTATAGCCTTTGTCTTCGCAAGATTGACATGTGTGAAGCTACGCTCGGTCGAGGCTCGTCAAATGTTAGAAGTCGGCTCACGGGCTAATCTCGAGTTGGTATGGTGAACTATCGATTTCCCGCCAAAAAAGATAATGAACATGGACTATCATTTTATTGCAAACTTGTGGTTTCTGTTGGATTTTGGAGTATATGCTTAAAATGCTGTTTGTTTTGATCTGTTCCTATAAAGTTATAGCTTACTCCATGTCTGCATAATGAAGTTCATATTCTTGTTTGAGATTAATTGAGTTTGATTTTATTTTATTTTATTTTTATTTATATGCCTGCTGGATTTGGCAGGCACGGCGTGAGATTATTAACGGCATTGAACCAGTCGCAGTCGATTCAATCCCGAGAGAAAAGTTCGATTATGAAGCATTCGGTTCTAGTGGAGATTCACAGTGAGTACATTGGAACTTCCATCAAGTGTATTGCTAATGTATTTTACTAACCGATAAATTGCAATCAATTGTCAGATGCATAATATGCTTGGTAGAGTATGAAGAGAGGGAATCCCTTGGAATTATACCGAAATGTGGCCATAGTTTTCATCTTTCGTGCATCGATGCATGGCTTTCGAAACAATCGACTTGTCCGATTTGTCACCTTCCGGTACAACAAGATGTCGGAACAAAACGTGCACTTTCAACATAAGTTTTTTGTTGCTTTCTGCTTATGCAATGGACTACTGATAAATTAAACGAGCCTGGCTCAACTCGAGTTGGGCTCGGATCTTTTGATATACGAGCCGAGCTCGAGTTCATTTAAAGCTCGTTTGGTTACCGAGCCGAGCATAAGGCTCGATAAGAGAATTTTTAAATAATTTTAGTTCGACTTGTTAAATCTCGAGATCGTCTCATTAAGCTCGAACTCAGCTCGCTCGTTAAGGGCTCGAGCTCGGCTCGTCTATAGGCCTAGCAGTACAAGTCATGCTATATTGTCAGAATGGTTCATTATTCTTAGTACTAAGATCAACGGTCCAGATCTTGCCAACACAAGATTCGATAAATTAAACCAGTTGGTAAATCAACACGACAAAGTAAATAGATTTTTTACTGTACATGTAAAAGATCATGTTAACAACAACCTTATATTTTACAACAAAGAATTGTAAACAATTCAGTTTTCACTAACATGACTTCATCTGATAAATACAAAAAAATAAATATAAAGAAGAGTTACCAGATGTTATCACTTCTCATAATAGATGTGCTTCCACTATCAGGTTGTGCAATTTTACAAAATCATCTAATGTGAGTTCTTCGGGTCTCGACTGCAAGAGAAAACTCCAATCATATTCGAGATTAAAAAATGAAACATAAAAAAAAAAATAATAATAAATAAATAAATAAAATTGAGCTTTTGCTAATGCAAAAACTGAAAACTCACAGTGGGTGAAAGATTAACAGCACACAGAGCAGCTTCAACGTCAGGGGAAGGGCATACGTGTTGGAGTGATTTTCTCAACATTTTACGTTTTTCATTAAACGCACAGTTTACCTAACATAAAGCGCTTGGTGAATTATCTTACGAAGTATTGTCTTGTGCAAAAAAATTGCCTAAATATCAATTGTAACATTATGCCTGCCGAAAATTCTTAACATTACCATTGAGAAGAAGCTTTTGGTGGAGGAAACACGAGGATAATCCGCCACTTTCTTTAATTTAAATGATACAATAGCTGCATCGACCTAAAAAAAATAATCGAAAATAACTGAATTATATATGAACTGTGTGTATTTAATATTTATGCCTTAACGGATACAAATGGAGTGTACGGTAGGAAAAGACTTACTTTGGGCTGGGGAAAGAAATTCGCCCTCGAAACTTTCATTTTGTATTCAGGATCTGAAAAAGAAACATTTTCCACACAACTTAAGACACGTAAATATCTCACGAAAATAAGTACTCGCAAAAATATCAAGAAGACATAATAATATGCAATCAGAAATATTTATTGTAAGACCTGAATAGAAGTTCACGAAAATATTAATGGGTCGGTATTCAGATGATTTTAAAGACGAATCAACCAAGCGCAGGGCTGCTTCATCCTGGGGA